GCCCATGAGGGCTGCGGGGCGGGCAGGGGGGGGGGGGCAAAACAGCGGGTCGAAGGGAGAAATGAAATTAATGAGAGTGATGTGGCTGGCAGGCTGTCCGCGGAAAGAGGTACGTTGACCATAGGATGAGTGGGCGATGCGGAAGTTGCGGGCACGGCAAATTAGTCACTGAGACCAGGGGGAAATTTTTGATGAGATGTGGATAACGGGTCCAAATGGCCTTCCATGCACGAGAGAGCGTGGCCAAAGGCACAACATCAGCCGACTGTGTGCCTGCTGCAAGCCAGCTTTGCCTGCTGCCAAGTAATCGGACTGAAACCCGCCCTTTTATCTGCGTGTCGGCCCGAACAGGCGGCCATCATGCTCGGTCCTTCCCGCGCCCCGCGCCCCGCTGCACCTTGCCCCGCTCTCCGCGCCACGTCAGCACAAGCACACACGGCGACAGCCGTGACGTCGAGCACCGCCCAGAGTGCCGCAGCCAGGGTTACGTTGCGGCGCCTCATGCGGCCGCGCCACCGCCCGCCTCACCCCAGAGCCAGTAGCCTGGCGGGCCTGGGATCTTGTAGAGGTCATATTTGGGGCCGAACAGGTTGTTGTAGAAGAGGTTGGCGTAGAAGCGGAGCTCCTCGCTCGAGGTCATCATTGAGGCCATCGCGGTGGGCGGGCGCGGCGGCTGGAAAGGTGGGAAGGAGGGGCCCGAGGCGCGACCGGCGTCGACACGGACGCGACCTCGCGGCGACTGGGCGGAAGTTGCGGCGCCGAGCCGGGGCGTCCCGCTGATCGATCTTGGCTCGTAGGGTGTCAGAGGCTTGCAAATGTGTCTACACCTCTCTTGCTGATTGATGGAGCTGGAGGCGAGGCGGTAAAGGAGGCGTGTTGCTGCGGGCGGGCGCTAAACGGGGCCGCCACCCCGTTGACACTGGGAAGATCGGTGATGGGTTACAACAGCAATTCTGGCTTCAAGTGAAAAGTACTTTAATGCGTTTTGAGTCCTACCAGAACGTGCTTCGGCGCGGTAACGATGGTTAACGCTTGCCCAGGAACCTCGATCGTCGAACAGGAGCTCCTGGCTCGCACATGCAGGCCAATCGCATGTTTTTCGGTTTGATCAAGCTCGTCTGAGATATGGGAGGTTGTCCCATGTTGCACGCAACATCGCTGATGGCATCATGACAGGTGATCAGGTCCAAGGAAGGTGAGCACTTCAAGGTCTCAAACACAAACCAGGTGAGCTGAAAGCAACCTCTTTGACTCAAATGTTCAAGTCCGCGCGCAGCTGCGACATACAGTCCAGGCAGCAGGCACAGCGATGGCTGTGGGCGTTGTGGTGCACGTACAAGAGCTGTGTATGTGTGTATGCGTGTGTGCAAGTGGGTGTATGTGTTTTGTAAGTGGTCAGGTTTTCAATCAGGCAGGGTCGTCAAGGGTGGTGATACTCTGGGTGGAGGCTGGGTTGCTGGGTCACTGGGTGGTGTGGGCACCGCGTTGACTGTACTGTACTAGGCGCACACCTACGGCGCGAGAAGCGGGCGTGGCACGAACGTGGTCAATACGCAGGGCCATTTGCTACTTTGCACCCCAAATTGACAAGCCACCCCCTCACAGCATAAGGTTTTTGCAGTGCTTCCGCACTTTGGTGCCCACCCACCCACCCAGG